TAACAGAAAAATTGGAGCATAAGTTTTCGTGGGTGAATGCCCACTTCATCAGACGCAAGATCTTCACCCATGAAAGCTTATGCTCCAATACTTCTGTTAGTCTTAACGGTGCCACAGGACCCTCTGTTGCATTTTAGGTTTTGTTTTTTTTTAACTAAAACAGTTAAGTAGAACTGACACAAATTTATGAAACATTTCAGTGTTAACAAATATACACTTTCTGTTGAAAAATAATTTTGGTTGAAAAATTTCATCCAGATCTACTCGCCAGTCTAAGTGGCAGATCATTGACAAAGTTGTATGAAGAGGCTTGCCTTCTCTTTGGCCACATTGTTTAGCATATACTAAGCCAATGACTGTAGTCCCTCAGTTTCCTGAGAACTAAATTCACCAACAGAATAGTAGCTAAATAAAAGAAACATTTAAACAATAAAGGAACACCGAGATACAGCATCATAGGACTCAACCAGGCAAACACTTATCTTCAAGCATAGTGCTTACTACTAAGAGTCCCAGTAAGACTACTGTAGGACTACTAGTGGTAGTGAGTATGACATCTGGTGGTAAGTGTTTGCAGGATTGAGTTTATGATTGAGAGATGAACTAGATGGTGAGAACTCATGGCAAGATGAAGAAAGAAGATTAGACTGAGAACTGAGACTTGTATGTCCTGACGCTGAATGTCTAAACCAGGGATCGGCAACCTTTGGCACACAGCTCGTCAGGGTAAGCACCCTGGCAGGCTGGGCTGGTTTGTTTACCTGCCACGTCCGCAGGTTTGGCCAATCGCGTCTCCCACTGGCCGTGGTTCGCCGTTCCAGGCCAATGGGGGCGGTGGCCAGCACATCCCTCGGCCTGCACCGCTTCCCGCAGCCCCCATTGGCCTGGCGAGCCACGTGCCAAAAGTTGCTGATCCCTGGTCTAAACCATTCACCCTTATTCCTAGTGGTGTAAAATATGTGCAAATTTAAGGAAGAGAACGCTAAACAGTGATTCCTATTGTGCATCAGTATGTTTTGTTACTGTTCGGGTTGATTGGAGAAACTGCAGAACTGTACTCCATTGGAATATGTGGTTCTGTCGAAATTACACATTTTGCAAAATTAGGTTAATTTTATTTTGGGGACAAGTTCCAGTGTGTTTAGAAAGAAATGTATGTTTTGTTTTGGTTTTTTCAAATGCATTTTCTCTGTAACTATTGTATTTAAAGCATTTAAAATAATCTGAAAAAAATATTTTTTTTCCACAGAGAATTATGAAATTTTCAGTTTTCAATCCAGTTTGAATAGAGCCAAATTTTAAAATTTCAAGTCCTTCATGGAACAGAATTTTAATTGCAGCTCTGATTACTATATTTTGTTGCTGAGTTTTTGTTTAGTTTGGTTTTTGCGTACTAGTAGTGTCTTTATTTTCAGAGCATTGCAAATCTTGGGGATATTCTAACTACAAGAAAAAAGTTAAGGCAATTAGAAATCATCATACAGATCCTAGAAGCATTATCAGAATATTGTGTATGTTATTTTTACTAATTAGCTTGTGTCTTATAGAATAAAAATAGACCATTAGTTTTAGAACAATGCAGAAATAGAAGTGACATTAAATTGAATGCATTTCCAATTCTGAGTGCCCAACACTACCTCTTGTGATAGCTAACACAACTTTTACTTGTTATCTTATTTTATCACTCAAAGTAGAAGTGACAGTAATGGGTAGGTGCATTATATTAGTTACTTTCCTACATGGCAAGCTATAGCTGCTTTTCATAAGTATTTTTTTAAATTAATATTTTCTTTAATTTGAATATGTTTTTGTATTTTTTAGGTTTATTTTTGGTCATATTGTTCTATTGTGACTGCAATTTGCCACACTGGCTTTTCTCTATTGCAGAATATATTTTTGGTATTAGTGGGTGTGATCAAGCTGAAATATTTTTCTCAGTTTAGCGGCATAGAAATCTTCAAATTATTTTTGCTTTTAAAGTTTAAATTCTTTTTAGGTTAGCTAGTTTAACATAGTAGTGATCAGGAACTGTACTGTTCACTGTTGTCTACTTCTGCTATGTTCTTTTTCATATAGATTCAAAAGCCAGAAGGGACTATTGCTCATATCTTGAATACTGTGTGCAGATGTGGTCACCCCATCTCAAAAAAGATATATTGGACTTGGAAAAGATTCCGAAAAGGGCAATAAAATGATTAGGGGTACAGGATGGCTGCGGTATGAGGAGAGATTAATAAGACTGGGACTTTTCAGCTTGGAAAAGAGACGTCTAAGGGAGGATCTGATAGAGGTCTATAAAATCATGATTGGTGTGGAGAAAGTAAATAAGGAAGTGTTATTTACTCCTCCTCAAAACACAAGAACTAGGGGCCACCAAATGAAAGTAATAGGCAGCAGGTTTAAAACAAACAAAAGGAAGTATTTTTTTCACACAACGCCCAGTCAACCTGTGGAACTCCTTGCCAGAGGATGTTGTGAAGGCCAAGACTATAACAGTATTCAAAAAAGAACTAGATAAGTTCATGGAGGCTAGGTCCAGCCAGGATTGGCAGGGTTGGTGTCCCTAGTCTCTGTTTGCCAGAAGCTGGGAATGGGCAACAAGAGATGGATCACTTGATGATTACCTGTTCTGTTCATTCCATCTGAGGCACCTGGCATTGGCCACTGTCGTATGACAGGATAGTGGGCTAGATGGACCTTTGGTCTGACCCAGTATGGCCGTTCTTATGTTCTTATTGTGATCATCTAATCTGACCTCCTGTATTACACTGGCAATAGAAATAGGCTGACTAGAACTCATTCCCACTATATACCATTGAGTTCCATAGCTTAGTAGGACTTTTGAAATAGGGTGACCAGAAACAAACACAATATTCCAGGTGAGAGTGTACCATTTCATTTATATAGTGGCATTAGAACATTTTAATTTTATAATGGCATCTTATTTATTATTCTGCAAATTTTGTTTTTGTGTATTTGGGGTGGGGTTTTTTTTGGTATGCTTTTTTGACTGCCACTGTACATTGATCAAAAGTTTTTTCCTTTCACTGTCTAAAGTGACAGGTCCTATTCCTGCATGGTTACAGTTAATTTACAACTCAGCAAAGTGATGCACATTTTCTTAACTTTGATATGTGTCCCTATGATTTTTCTTAGTCTTCTCTGGCTTTGACTGACCTAAATCTTCATTTAGAGAAGACACATACAAGGGGGCACACAATAGAAGTATACAAAATACCAAATTATATAGATAAGACTCTGTGCGATAATTGGATCCAGATTCTGTGACACTGGCAGTAATTCTATATCAGCTGAAAATTAAAAATCGATGTTTTTATTAAATTAAATATGAAAGAATTATATAATCCATACAGTAGCCAGTGTTGTTTATTTTGATATTAAGTTTGATTTGTTGTTGCCACAACCCAAGTTTTCATTATTTAAAATCTATATTTTTAGACCTCATGACATAATTGTGTCTCCCTGAGTCTGCAGACTGCCTGAAACAATAACTCTGAAAAGCATGAGCTGCTCCATTTATCACCATGGAATGTTAACACTGAACTGCAGATCACTTTAACAAAAACAGACAGCTACTGTGCTTTATGTGTAATCCCATACTGCCTCTCATACCAGAACAGATTCCAAAAGCCCCAACTGCCCATTCCATAGCTACCAAAACCTCCAGCTTCACCCTGACAACTTCTACAAAGCCGTCATTTTCAATTAAAAAATATATATCACTTATTGAAAACAAATGTTCTAGAGCACAACCTGCAGCAAGCAGTGAATTTCACAGCATATTCCATGGCAGAAGAATCCTAGAAAACATGGGACCCTGGGTCTAGAGAAGGTAAATTGGAAGCTCCTATTTTCCCCTTTCTCTTACTATAAGAAGGGGCTATTGAATGAAATTGAAAGGCAATACATTTAAAACTTACACAAAGGGAATACTTTTCACAAAATGTATAGGAACATGTGGAACTCATTACTACTATACATCAAGTCCAGTAGTTGAGTAGATTTAAAAAAAGGAATTGGGCATTTTTATGAATAATGAGAACATCCACAGATATATTAGGCAGGATAACAAGAACCTAAGTGGTTATAAAAATCTCATGATATAAAAATCTAATACAACTGATTGAAAAGGGTTAGGAATAAACTGCATCTATGGTCAGGTTACTTCATGATTTTCCACTGTGGGGTTTTAGAGGAATTATGGGTGTTTGTTGGGAAGTCACGCACTTTGTTTAGGTGTGCAACTATAAATACCCAGGTTTGACAAGGCTTAAGCTTGGTTGTGAACACGGGTGCACTGAGATTAGACCACTGGTCTAGTCCCTTGTTCCGTTTGTCCCTCCTTGATTTTTGAGCCTCATTACATTTGACCATCCTTTTGTTTCTTCCATTTTTAATTCTCTTTGTGTATTCTCTCCCCTTCTGTTTATCTCTGTTTTTCTGTTTCTTAATCATCCTCTGTACCCGAGCAGTGTCCTATTAGGAGCAGCAGCGGAGGATCAGTTCCCCAGTAGGAGCAGTAGAATGTAATGTAATGAGTTACACTCTGCTACTGCTTCTTCTGTTCCTTTGTTGCTGCTAATAGAAATTTACCTTGCACAGAGAGGTGTGTAGACCTAGAGCTGCCTCTGTGCATGCAGAGGAATTTCATCCTATATGCAAAAGCAGTAACACAAGTATGATTCTTCATGATTTTAAAACTGTTTTGTGGTGAACTTTCTCCACAACATATAACTTGTGACTATTTTCTTCTAGTGTCTGAGATATTTTCTGTGCTCTTTTTTAACCCCCCCTTTTTTTTTAAACAAAATAATGAAACAGATAGGTGGACATGTCTGATGTTACTATTTCATTGTTTTAGGCTTCATAGAGCTCAGTCTGTATGACCAAGTGAGGCTTTTGGAGAGTTGTTGGATGGAAGTTTTAATGGTGGGTCTGATGTGGAGGTCGATTGATTATCCTGGCAAGCTAATTTTTGCACCAGATCTTGTATTAGACAGGTGAGGAAAAATATAAATTAGTCTCTTCTGATGTATGTTTATTTTCAGCATATGGTAAAAGGGAGCATATAGCCATTAGGGATACTATTAACATTTCACATTTGAAAGTAAATGATACTGTAAAAATAATGTTATGAGGTTCCTAATCTCTCCAGAAGGAACTCTAGACAAAAATAATATTGTCAGGTGGCTCAAACTTGTGAGTTCCTTAATAATTCCTGTCATAAATAACTATTTTCAGAGTAGCAGCCGTGTTAGTCTGTATCCGCAAAAAGAACAGGAGTACTTGTGGCACCTTAGAGACTAACAAATTTATTAGAGCATAAGCTTTCGTGGACTACAGCCCACTTCAAGTGTTCTTTTTATAAATAACTATGTTCAACATATCAGTATTTGTTGATTTCTCTAGTGGCTGTCCAGCACTCTAGACACTTACCAAATTTTTAAAAAACACAATTTAAAAATCGTTTTTGTAGCTACTAGATTCCCCCAAGAAAGACTAGACATGTTATCAAAACATAACATATATGATCCCCACCTAAATATACTTTTATAGCATCTTCTCCATTTGCAGTATCATTACAGTACACTAATTTTTCTAAATATGGCAAAAATAACAGGCTTTGCAATGTTAGTGAAGTAGGAATAGCTGTGTGTCTGTGTGCTATGTAAATAAAATAAACACTGAAAACTTTTCTTTAGTTGAGTTAATTCCATATGTTACAAGTGACCATATTGCCATTTTCAGGCATCCGCATAGCAGTGTGTGCCATTTGGATGGGATGTAATATGAACAATTCTCTGCGAGACCTAATCAGAATTTGAGCAGGTTCCCAAAGGTGAAAAGTCAATGAAGTAATCTACTCTCCTACCTGGCCCTAACATATTGTTTCTTAAGCACTTTGCACCAAAGGGGAAAAAAAGCAAAAATTCAGATCTGTAACATTAATGTGCCTGAGTGAGATACAAAGCATCATCTTATAGGCTGCAGATAGTTAAAAGGCAATATTGGTTCTGTAGCAAAGGAAACAAATTCTGTTTCCAAATGATATGGCATAAATGTTGATTTACTTACATAAAAATCATTTCAAGGATATGCTTTGTTCAAGACAATACTAAAGAAATTACTAAGAAAAGTGTGTTACACATTGGATTTTTTATAGAAGCAGGTATGTTCTGAATATGGATTGCCTGTTGTATACATTCCCTCATCTCAGCAAGGTAGGGCAGAGTTTGGCTCAGCAGACATTAAGGGTATTCTGTAAATTAAAACAAAGTTTTCAAGAAGTTATATGTGGTCTGTGATCCGATTTTTATGGAGATCTTCAGCTACTGTAGGAAATGTACCTTCTCAAACAAATAGTTATTTGTAAAGTTCACTTTTCTCTTTTAAATCAATGATAGCTTGTCCTTCAAATCCTTCCTTAAAATTTTCCTTTGTCGTGATGCCTGCAAAAAAACTTGATCACACGCAGTTAGTGAGCTGAGATCACTGTTGATCATGCTGACCAATATTGTCTAATTGTTTCCTTGTACTCCACTCTCTCTATTTCCATCTGTTGTCTCTTTTCTTATACTTAAATTGTAAACTCTTTTGGGCAGGGGGATCATCTCTTTGTTCTATGTTTATATAGGGATGAGGGGAAATGTGTAGAAGGAATTCTGGAAATCTTTGACATGCTCCTGGCCACAACATCAAGATTTCGAGAGCTGAAATTACAGCACAAGGAGTATCTGTGTGTCAAGGCTATGATTCTTCTCAATTCCAGTGAGTACACATTTTCCCTTGAGGTATGTCAAGTTGTGCTGACTATTTAGGGGAAAAATCTGTGTCTAAAATTGGCAAAAATATCAAAGGACACATGAACCATTGAAAAAGAATGAAAAAAAAATAGAAAGTGCTTTTTGTTGCTAACATTTTAATGGCTTTATGTTTGGTATATTCAGTCAAGTCCTAGGTCATATTATTATTAGATATTTTTGGGCTGCATTCTAGGGTAAAAGCTGATAAAGGGACTCAAAAGTCTGTACGCGCTCTTCGGGGAGTGGAGTTTATGGCCCACAGAAGGGTCAGGGGCTTGTCCTTTTAAATTGCTGGAGCTGCTGATCAGTGGGAAATTCTGCTCCTATCCCTCTGGATCAGGAGCATTTGTGATGTGGGTAAGCCCCTCTGGGCTGCTGTCTGCCACCTCTTTGCTCCCTTGATACCAGTTTTTTTTTTAATTATAATTCACCAGCAGAAATAATTTAAAGCATTCAGCTGATCTGCAAAATGTTTTTGGGAACTACATCCCTGGTTTAGGAGTAGCAGCCGTGTTAGTCTTTATCCGCAAAAAGAACAGGAGTACTTGTGGCACCTTAGAGACTAACATTTATTTGAGCATGTTATGTATTGGCCCTGTTCTTGGTAGACTTCACTGTAATCATTTCATCCCAGAGTCCATTCTGTACTGATGTGTCCCAAAACAACATCTGTATAAACAAAATATGATATTGTTTATATCTACTATTTTCAGTATGTAGTGTGACAAAGTTCCTCCTCTATCTTGGTGGGTCCTGCGCTTATTGGCAGATTTTCTTGCCTCAGAGATTCACTATGTGGGTTGGGGAACAGTCCAGAGACCTTCCCCTCTGGGCAAACCCACAGTCCAGGTCAATTGGGAGGATTGGGGGGAACCCAGGCCTGCCCTCTACTCCGGGTTCCAGCCCAGAGCCCTGTGGACTGCAGCTGTCTATAGTGCCTCCTGTAACAGCTGCATGACAGCTACAACTCCCTGGGCTACTTCCCCATGGCCTCCTCCAATCACCTTCCTTATTCTCACCACAGGACCTTCCTCCTGGTGTCTGATAACGCTAGTGCTCCTCGGTCCTCCAGCAGCACACCCTCTCACACTCAGCTCCTTGCGCCTCTTGCTCCCAGCTCCTCACACTCACACCACAAACTGAAGTGAGCTCCTTTTTAAAATCCAGGTGCCCTGATTAGCCTGCCTTAATTGATTCTAGAAGCTTCTTCTTAATTGGCTCCAGGTGTCCTAATTAGCCTGCCTGCCTTACCTGGTTCTAGCAGGTTCCTGATTACTCTAGTGTAGCCCCTGCTCTGGTCACTCAGGGAACAGAAAACTACTCATCCAGTGACCAGTATATTTGCCCTCTACCAGACTCCTGTACCCCACTGGTCTGGGTCTGTCACAGTAGCCTCAGGATAATTCTGAAGGGGAATCAGAGATACTTATGTCCAGCTGTTGTCTATCCATAAATAAGTAAAATACCAGTATTTTAACAGAAAACAGAATTTTATCCTTTTATTTAGCAAGTTTGTCAACACATTTTCTTAAGAGTCTTGCTCATCTAATAATCTAAATATGTGATCAAAACCATTTCACAAGTACAAAAAAGTCAAGCTTGTTAAAAAATTATTCAGACAAACAAAAATGTGATGGTTGTAAAACAGCCATGTTAGAAAAAAGCTAGCCATTTAAATGGTAAAATTAAATGAGATACCATTGAAGAGAACTCAGTACTGCCTCCTAAATCTCTGTGTGGGCTTAAAAACCATAGGTATTCACAAGTGCTCATATTATTGGTACAAGGCTCCTTCCATTTCATTTGAGGGCAAAACAGAAGGGGGACATAATCTCCTGTCAACATGCATAGGGTGATGGGCTGGCATGATCTTTTTTTAAACATGGAAGCATTTAAGGTAGAATTTTTAAAAGCATCTACTTGATTTAGAAGCACAAGTCTATGGTACTTAGACTCCTAAATCACTTATCTGCCTTTGAAAATCCCACCCTTAGAGAGAGATCATTGATCTCTGATACCAGGCAGAGTACTTTTTGGGGGTAGGGCTGTGGGGCTATTATTTTTCTTTCCTTTTCTTTTCCTTTCCTTTCCTTTCCTTTGGGACTCACTGCCTTAAATAATTATTTTCTTACAGGGTCCTTACATGGTCAGGGTGTTTCAGGTATCTTGTGTAAGCGCCTCAGTTTAAACTCAGTAATCATATCCCATGCCTGTATGATTTTTTTTTTTACAAGGCCAGCCTAGACAAGGACAAGAAGAAAGACATAAATACAGTGCTGGGAATCTTGAAATTAGATGTATGTTTAATTTTACAAATGTTGAATATGTGATAACTATGCTGTGGGTAGTCTGTTAATCCTTGAAGGCACCAACTCTATGGCAGTCTGTTAGACAAATCTCCCATTCAAGTCTGTGGAAGATTTTCCAGCATACAGGCTGCATAACTGGCCTGAAAGTGATTGCTATCATAATGTTGAAATGCCCATTTAGAAATTGGGATTTTTAAATTGTTTCAGTGGATTAAGAAAATTATAGTTAAAAAAAAAATCAAAATCTTGCAGTCCTTACTTTGGGGATGCTTCCATTTAAATTACAGTAATGAGGACTGCAGGATTTAGCCCATAGTTTGATACTGTGTGCTTCCATATAACTTCTTGGGTGAAATGGTGTACTGGTATAGCTTTTGGCATTAAAATATTTCATGTCAATGCATGACAAATTGCAGACAGGAATATGGATGCTATGGATAGACATGACAGATTTTAAGTTTAGATTTCTTTTCTATGCTCTGAAAGCTTTTTTGTTTAAAAATGACTGGCCATTGTTTTCTAATTTTTATTTATCCAATTGAAAGCATCTGACTTAGGCTACTTTGTCCCTTTATGCTGTAGGACAAAGTATTTTTTTAATATCTCTGCATATAGTTGGTAAACACTGAATGCTAGATTTAAACTTCCCTAATGACACTGCTCTACAGCCAAAATGCTTCTGAAATAAATGTAGTCAAACTTTACTAATTCTGGGTCACTGAGAACGAAAATGATGCTTAAAATTGTTGATTGGCTCTAGTTTTCAAGATATGCTATTGGGTCAGTATATACGACCCTGGACTTGGGAATGACGGAGGATAAGTGAGTTATAAAGGGAAGGGATCTCAATTTAAACAAGAAATGACTAAAATACATCTTTGATTGGATCTATGAATAAATCTATGACTGGGTTTGGACAGTACTTGCTTTTTAGGCAAAACAGTGAATGATGCAATCTGAGGCTGGTATTGCGTCAGACATGATATGAATTGCATCATGTTATTCCTAGAAGTCATGGATGATGCAATCATAACGAAGCTTACATCACTCTGCTGAACAAATTGCCCTATATCAGCTCTAGAAATCATACAGTGTCGTGCTCTCTTATTTGTCAGTGTTTGATTTTTTCCAAAGGGACACATTTCTGTTTAGCCAAAGTGAGCAGAGATGCCTCGTACTTGTGTGAACAGTGCAGATAACCATAGTGGTTATACTGCGCTTTTGTGATGCAGAAGTTAAGAAAGCCTAT